AACTGATGGGCTGCCACAAATCATACACACTGTCTTCTACCATAATATTTTCTACAAGACATCTCAAGTATTTTGTCTGGCCTTATCTGTCATTTTGATGCAAGACACTGAAGTATGCTGCTTTTATGCTAAAAATAACTTATTTGTAAACACATATATGTACATAAATTAAAAACTGCAGGTGTGCACCCCACTATTATAAATCAAACATTCACAGCTCAAGAAGGCTGCTCTCTATAAAATGCCCTACCATCACAACCAATCCAAAACGCCTAGTCCCTTGTTCCTACCTGCAAACACTGAGACTTATGGGCATGGGGTTATGCAGAGAACTAAGCCAGACATGATGCTATGGTGTCTTGACTCATAGCGATCACCCTCAGAAGTCAAGATGTGTGATTTGAACTATACCCAGAGTATAGAGACATATATCGGATAACTCAAAGCTTACTTATGGGGTGCAAGGAGAACACATTGATTTTTTTTAATTGATGCTTGCTCATTCAGCTTAATATCTGATGTTTATAAGAACTAAGAATAAAGAACTAGGAAGTAGAAATCATCCTTAGCCTCGTGATTTCCCATTGTTTTTAATTAATAGCTTTTTTTTTTCATTTGAAAGAGACTGAAAAACTGAGTTTTGTGCTGCTCCCTACAGCAGTGGGCCCCAACTGTTTTGACACGAGGGACCAGTTTAACTGAAGACACTTCTTGCAAGGACTAGTGTGGGTGTGGGTGCATCCGTGTGTGTGTGCAGGAGGCGGGTAGATGTCCATGCGTGCGGCTGGGTGGGAGTATGTGTTTGTGTGTTTCTTTGACCCTCGAAAATCTGTCTTGGCAGCCCAGTCCTTTCAAGGCCACAGAGTAGGACTGGTCCACAGCCCGGGGGTTGGAGACCCCTGATCTAGAGGATAGAATGAGGTGAGGGAGAAAGAAGCATTGTCATTATTTGTATGAGCTATATTTAGGTTCACATTACAGAAACCTTCACTCTAGCAGTGGCTTGTAGATTATGAAGGGTATTCTGAAGTGGTTTACAAGCTGCTTCAAGATATTGAATATTGAGCACTTCCCCTGATCAATTGCAGAGGGTAAAGGGAAATGAAAGCATTTTTATTGCAACTGCTACATTGTTCCTGATGTGACAGTTCACTCTGATTAAATAACTTTTTTTTTCTTTTCCTATCTGGATATTGGTGGAACCACAACTGATGGCAGATTCTTGATTACCAATACACAGACAGGCAAAGAAAGCAGCCAGTCAGGAATGTGCCATTAGTCCCAAGGGATCTTAGGTCTGTGAAAGGCCAAAGCAGCTACATAAGTCCCAGTGTTCCCCAGCTTTCACCTTCTTCCTATGCTAATTCCTAGTTTACCTGTGTGGCACCCCAGAATCAGCAATCCCAGTAATTTAAATAATTTGGAGCCTTAAACCAACCTGGCAGAATAGAAGCACTTTAAACCCTCAGGTGATCAAGAAGTCAAGAATGAATTTAGGACTAATGTTTCAATGCACATTATTAATCAGCAGACCAAAAGTGGAGATGCTTTTATTTTTATTAAAGTAGAAGAAGTCAGAAGAAAGAAGAAAAATACTTCTGAAAAAATATTAAATACTTGAAAGCTGAATACTTACACTGTACAGACCTCACAGTAGTAGTAGGCAGCAACTGAATTTGGACAAACTGTAAGTCCAACGACTCCAATGACAGACTATATCCAAAGGCACAAAACCCATTCTTACTCTCCACAGGTCTTCTTATATACTTTAATTCTTAGTAACAGTGAAAACACCCATCTCATAGCACAACCCCAGTTCCAACATAATCTTCTGGAATATCAGCAAACTTGCACATCTCCATGAGAGGGTGGCTGAAGTTCATTTGCAATTCAGCTTTTTATTCTTTGACTCTGGGTAAGACAAGAATCCCGTAGAAGGAATGGAATAGCTCTCAAAGTCAACAAAAGAGTGGGAAAAGCTGTACTGGGGCACAATCTCAAAAATGACAGAAAAATTTCAATACAAATCCAAGGCAGACCTTGGATGACAGTCAGTGATGACACTCAGCTCTACATCTCCTTTTCACCAACGGCAGGAGATGACGTTCTGCCCCTCCAGTGCTGCCTGGGGACTGTACTGCAATGGATGCAGGAGAAAGGGCTGAGGCTGAACCCGGACAAGACGGAGGTGCTGAGGGTGGGCGTCCCCACAGTTGGGGGCTTGGGAAACTCCGTCTCTTTTTGGGGGGGTGACTCTTCCCACCAAGGATGGGGTCTGCAGCTTGGGGATCCATCTGGACTCGGTGCTCACTATGGAAACTCAGGTGGCGTCAGTGGTCCGTACCGCCTTTGTTCATCTTCGGCAGATAGCCCAGCTGTGGTCCTATCTCGATGTTAGGGCGCTCACTACCTTGGTACATGCGCTCATAATCTCAAGATTAGACCACTGTAATGCAGTACAAAAATATATAGCAGTGCAGATCTCAAAAATATATCTGGTAATAATCTTTTATTGGCCCCAAAAATTACTCCTCGACCCTACCTTGTTTTGGATTCTGTACAAATGCAATGTTTAGAAACCGGACAAACTGTATCTCTGCAACCCAAAAATCCCAGGAAGAGGCAAAAAAAATCTTCAAAAGTTAGGACAGAGAAAAGAAATACCCTGGTTTCACCTCCCTTGCATTTTGCACCTTGAGATGTATTTCTGGGCAGGAAACACTGACGGGAAATGTGCTCCTTCTGTGTAGTATTCATCATCCTTACATGACAATGACACCATACCAGTTCATTCTAATTTCACTAGTCCAATAAGAGGGTGCTTCCTAAAAATCCTCAAGGTAGCACCAAATACTAAGGTGTGATTATGTAAAATATGCTAATTTGGATTCTGGCAGTGATGATTAATGTCCTGCTCAGTCCTGGCACTTCTGACTGAGGAATTCCTTTCCGTATCCAAGGGGTGGTGAACAAGGGGCTCCACGTGCTTCTGAACCACAATGACCATCAACCATATCTAGCACAGCCAACAGTAATGAGAAGTATGGTCCAGTAATAACTAGAGGACCACATGTTACTTTTCCCTGCCATATTCCTTAGTCACTCCTCCCTTGATTTCTTCTGGGGGCACCGTGGACTGTGCAACTTGCCCAAGGCTAGACAGGCTGATTTTTCTTCCAAGAGGCACAGTGGGGAGTCAAACTCCTAACCACTAGCTCTGTGGCTAGACTTCACTCACTGAGCTATCCAGCCAAGTCATGCATATTCTTACAAAGGGCAAAATATCACACATGGGTTAAATAATTCAATAGTTCTAGAAATAATTTGATAACTAGGAAGAGGGATGGTAAAACACTCTTAGTGACCATGAGCAGTATCATCAAGGATAGCTAAAACACACTTGTGATATTTATGCAAACATAATACAGCAATCCAAATTGCAAGCAATGTAGAATATATCCTGAATCACCTTCCCAAGCAGCAAGTTTCAAGGAAAACAGCATCTTCTCCTGAAGAAATACTTCTGCTTTGGAAGAGGCAACTGCATCCCTGTAACAATCAAGCATTTCCTATACAAAATGAATAATTATTTAGTGGCATAAATACCACCAGCAGGCATGGGTTTTTTTTTCACTACTACCACAATTATTTAGAATCCTCCCAGGCCAAATTCTGGCACCTGTAGTCCAAAAAATAATAATAATAATAATAATAATAATAATAATAAAAAGATGATGATGATGATGATGATGATGATGATGATGATGATGATGATGATGATGATGATGATGATGATGATGATGATGATGATAAAAAAAACGGTGAAAGTCTTTATCAGAGTCTTTATTAAATTTTTTTTACAACGGACCATCTGTTAGTAGGTATCCACCATTTCTCCGACAAAAACCCAAACTGTTACATCTCTAATGTCCGAAGCACCAAAAAGTGCCCCATTAAAAAGAAAATCTAAAAGCGCAGTAAATACAGTACTTAATTTTTTTTTAAAAAAAGATCTAGATAAGAAATGTCCGAAAGTCCTCTCTTTGCTGCTAGCTTTTTTTGGGGGGGGATGGGTGGGCTCCGAGGGGGCGCACACGGAGCTTCCCACCCATACATTTCTCCACTGGTCCCGAAGGGCAGCTTTCCACTTCCGCCCGATGGAGGTGTGCGTGTTCGTGGGGGGGGAGGGGGAGTAAAGAATCTTCTGCCACCGAACCAACTTCGTGGATTGGTCTATTATTACAGGTCTATGGGGGGAGGGAGGGAGAGAGTCTCTTCCGTTTCCCGAGCGTGCGCAGGCGCACTGAGGGTTTGCTTCCGAGTCCGCCGAGTCGGTTGCCGCCGCCGCCGCCTGGCCCGGTGTTTATTGGCAGGGAAGGAAGAGGCGGGAGGAGAGGCCGTGGGATTTGCCACCTCCCCGGCCGGCGAAAAGGAAGCGTTGGCCCCCAGAGGAGCAAGAAGGGGAAGCCGGGCTCTACCCGTCCGCCATGAGCGGGTCGCCCTGCTGACCGACCCCGGTGGTGGGTCGTGGGAGCGGGGAAGAGCCCCGAAAGCGCCGCCGCCGCCGCCGCCGTTCTCCCG